TATGTACAACCTGTCTTTTAACCTCGTGAGAGTACAAAATTAGTGCTTAGAAAATTAACCATAAGTATTGAAAGATACACAGGTAGGTAATACATATTATATAACTTATTTAACTTTTATTCCATCGCATATGGTAGAATAACGTGATATGGCCCGTTATATTGAATCCTGCAGAAAAGATTGATTTATGTATTTGGTTAAAGGATCGAACGTAATTACTAATTAGTAACCAGAATCGTTAATAATTTGTTTATGTGTTTTCACTTCCTGAAGTAATTAAAATAATTTCCATTTATTCCATGTAACTAGAATTTTAATTTTCAGGTCGTTGAGTACATCTACCTATATTATTCAAATTTAGGCTTTTGGACGACAGTGCAGAGAAATGTGTATATTATATGATTTCAGAATATTTAACGATGAGAGATTACTGTGCAATTTATTAATTTTTTACAGTTCATTTCGGCTGATGTTGAAATATTAAAAAAAAAGTCGTTATGCTCGTACTCAGTCGTGACGATTTTCACAAGCAAATTATTATTAAATAGTCGCATGCGCTCCACGCCCTGCAAGTGCTCGTCGAACGACAACGCTGTAGTAAAATCGCAACCGATAACAATTATTAATATAATATTTTATAATATTATGAAAAACAAAAAAATGTGTACATAAACATTGCGCGGTGCATGTCGACTATTATACAACGGAGGAGTTCAAGGACTATCTGATATAATAATACCTATGCACACAATATAATATAATGCCAACGTTGATTTACGGGTTCAGCGTGGTGGGTTTTCGTTCCCATTATATTATATGCACTCATAACAGCAGTTTTCGTTTTATGGTTTTGGACACGTCGAAGGTCCTGTGCAATGGGCTACTCTGTGTGTGTACGGTCCCGGGATTTGTGCGGCTATTATACGAAGCGGCTAACTGTTTTACAAAGGCCGCGATTGTTTCGGCCAACTCCATCGTCGCGCCACCCGCCCTTTTAATGGCTGTTTCGCGTGTCTCGAACATAATATACTGTATATACAGGTGAGCGCAGATCGTGAATCATAAAAATTATTAATCACGGATATATGTTTGTTCTGCGAGACTTTAAATTTAATTATTTCACCTGTTTGTTTTGATACCTAACGAGGAGGAACTCAATACACTTGCACCTAACTATATAAGCTAAACAAGGTGGATACCGTGACTGCTGAACAGTAGGTTACAATTTAGTGGGTCACTGTAATGGATGGTGTTAAATTTTAATGGAATGGTATATAATTGTATACAAAAAACGATTCTGAGAGGGAACTGCCTATATATTATAAAAATATTTCTAAATTACCACAAAATAACGATCTAATTTTGTCAAATTTTAAACTTAAAATACTTATAAAAAAAACCCGTGCCGATGTATTATTAATATTTTTACTGTAATTATTATAATTTATAAGGAACCTTATATTAAATTTTCAAGTGTTTTGACCAAAGAAAATGTTTTTTATCTACAATAATTAAAAATAAACTAATACAAATCAAAATTGTTTTATACCTAATAATATTATTCAAAAAGAAAATGTACCTAACGGTGTTTAGAAAATAGTAACATAAATATCCAGTGAAAATGTAAGGTATCTACGATCAACGATCATTATTTTTTGGTTACACCAAAAAAAATTAAATCAATTTTGTCGAAAACTGGTTTTATGTCTCATGTTTTCCTTAATTTTACAATGGTGTTTACCTATTTTTTATTTTTTTATAATGTAAACAACATTTCTACCAGAAGGAGTGCTTCGACTTCAACATATAGTACCTTATCTTTTAGCAAATTGGATCAAGAAACTGCTGTAAATTTTCTAGTTTGACCTCTAAAAGGTACCAACAATATCTACTTTCCCGTTAGGAAATATACTGATATTGAAAATCGAAGCATTATTTCTACTAGAAAATTACCCGAAATTTTGTAATTTAAATCCCAAAGCACAGGGAGCCTGTATTTTAACTGATTTTACTAGAATAAAATGTAATTTTTTCTAAAACATGTGGTAAAAAATAAATCATGTTTCGTGATAATAATAATAATAAAACTTAAAATATTTTTTATTTGGAATAACCTATTATGATTATAACAATTAACAGCAAGATGTTATAGACTTCAAAAGTACAAGCAATAAATAATCATTGAATTAACTTAGAAATAGATATTAGATTCGATGGAATATATAACTTGATACTTGTAATTATATAACGCTAATTAATATGTACATGTCTTATTGATAGATACATTTTATAAGCCCCCCCCCCCCCCCGAAATTTAGCTCTGTTCATGCCTATATCGTCTTACACCTTTTTGTTTAAATTTTGAAGAAACTATTTCAATAAAATTCAAACCATCCAATCGTTTAATTTTGTATAGTATTGTATGGTGGGCAAGTTCATGAAAATAATTAACTGTGGCAAGTTAAGTTAATTCAATTAAATTGCCTTCAGTTAAGTTAAAAGTTAACAAAGAAAAAAATTTAACTAGTTAAGTTTAAAGTTAAGATTGAAAATAAAATCAACTCATCTCAGTTAAAAAAAAGTTAATTTTTTTGAAGGTACAATATTTTTAAGTCATAAACTGCCATAGTATTTTGTTATACACACGTCTTGGTAAATATTTGTATATTTACCAAGACGTTTAACACTGTGTAAAAATTAGATTATTATAATATATTATTCGAAAATAAATGACCAAAATCGTAAAAGAGTTGACTTATCAGTGTTGTCTAGTTGATTACGCATGACACGAAAAGAAAATTAAATTAACTGCACGACAATGACAATTAACTATAAAAAGTTAAGTTACAATAATACACATTTTAACTGAATAAGTTAATAAATTAAAAACAAAAAAAATAACTAGTTAAGTTAATGCCCACATTTGGACTATTGTAGTAGTACTAGCAAGTTGTAACAATACTTTTTAAAATAAAACCTGTGAATCAACAAATATTTTTAATGATATAAAATAAAACGAGATTAATTCTGAAATAAATTGATCAGTCAGTTTTATTTAATATAGATTAATTAATGTTGATTTTTAGTAAAATGTTTTATTTATACATAAATACATAATATGTACCTATTTAGAAATGTCTATCTAGAGTTATTCATATAATATACTGTTAAAGCGGTAAAAATCCTAACCGAAAGAAAAAATCTTATACATTCTTCATTAAAGAGTTACCAAAAAATAATATCATATACCACATAATATCATACAACATTATAACATTATAGTCGAGTACGAGAAAAGTATATCATTTTACAATATTAATCAATAAAATATGTTTAATAATATCCACATACTATTTTGTTTTTGTAATGTAAAGTTTTAACATTGTTCTAAATGTTTATACTTATTTTAAGTATTAAATATTTATAATGAGAAAGATAAGGCACGCGTTCTAAAATGACGACTAGTATTAGTCAGACAGACAATAGGACATGTCACATGTATAATCTTGGAATTTAATTTTTAAACAACATAATAATGGACGCATTCAAGATTCTAATATGTAATATATAATACAATGGTAATGTTACTTACTTGCAAAGATTAATTAGTTATATTAAAATTATTTTCCTAAAAATATATACTACATATCTAAAGGTAATGTATTAAATAAAAATATTATAATCCATTTTGACATATTAAGCATGGTACAACTCTTCCAAAACACGTACACCCCCCCAAAACACTGCTCCACACCCATATATATTACCCTCCTAACTTACCTTATTTCAAATTTAAGTATTATTTTGTATTTTTGTAATAATTTTGAAAAAGAAATACATTTTTCACCTTTAGTCAAAATAGTTTCATGGTTAAAGCATCCCACAGTCAAACATTCTATTTTTTTTTTTTAGTCACGCAACGTCTTTGATAATAATCATTTAAAATGTATACTATAATAGTATAATATGTGAGTAGAGCAAACGAGGTGGAAATGAGTGGGGATATAAAATAATTTCACCATAGCTTCGTTTCTAGAAAGTAAAAATATATTTTTAATACTTTTCTGGGGTCTTTCTTTCATTTTTTAATTATTTATACAAATACAGGAGCGAATAGTCACTTTTTTTTTGTTATAGGGAACATGTTTAACTTCCACACAAAATTGCACAAGTGACACAATCTGCTAAACTGCTAACTTCGCAATTGAGTATTTTCTAATAATAAAGGTATTAAATTATGTTCTATAATGTTGCTATAATATAATGATTTTATGTATTTTATGATATCAATATTATAATAACAATTATAGCGATAAACGTTTAGCTTTTACACCAGTAATATACAATAGTGTTTAAAATAAATATCGATAAAATGATGAATTCAAGGTTACTTAGGTACTGTAAACACCTGTACTATGGGCTCAAATATTATATCCATTTTAGAAAATATAAATCTAAACATTTCGGGCACAATTTACATTTACTATACTCAGTTTACTACCTGTTTACTGTGGATTCAATATAGTATATACAAACGTCCCTCATAAACGCGCTAAATTATAAACCTTCGCTCATAAACGTTAACTCGTACCTATAGTATAATGATGAATGATTAATTGATGAAAATGTGTTGAATTCAAATTTAACACATCCATTACAGTTCCGAAGTATACCCGAAAAGTCGAAACATGGTATACAGCAGAGCGAGTTCCTCGATTATTAACTACCTACCTAATACACTTATCTCAATTCGTGTCGACTGTCAACGATAATATTATAGTAAATAGTCGTGTGAGCGATAAGTTTAGTGGCTATTGTGTTTTGTGTTCACTATATTATTATAGTCAGTACGACAGTACATTACTAACTAGTAACTACAGACTGGCAGACACATATTTGAAAGAGAATTCTGTTTATACTGAATACAAACCAAAAGGTTTTATTAGGCGATTTTTCTTAAAAATTATATTTTGTTTTATGCATTATCAAAGCCATCTATTATGTATCCAAGGAATCGAAGTCATACTAACAGCATATTATTGTTACCAGCTATATATTTTTTGTTGAGCTTCAACGTTTTGAACGCTTCAAACGAAAATGATGTTAAAAAACAAAACGTCACTATTTCACTGCATTCCCACAAGAACAGTAAGTAATAAGTATACTGTATATATCAATCAAATGTAATATAATACTTTAGTGAAATAAAATATAAATGTATAAGTATAACCTCTATTAGTTTTATTAGATTTCTAGTTGTATTTTTCCTAATAAGATTTAAAATGTGGAACTTATAACTTATAACCTAACCTAATTATAGCTTTTAATTTAAATAGATAGTTAACGTGATGTGCCTAAATATAATATATATATGTTATATTAGCGGTAATCGGACAATGTACCAGTACAATGGTATACAAAATAACTTAAGGAATTCTAAATAATTTTAAATTGGGCATAAACTTGAAATCTATTTAAATGGTTCGTAGAAAATTGCATTAATAATTAATAAACTATTTAAACTTTGAAAAAATACCCTTATTCAATTTTATATTTTGGACTTATTGGGACCCCTAAAATGTTGTGGCCCAGGGCATATGCTCCTATAATTACAACGTCAAATTCTGTGATTTTTAATTAATTTAAAATTACTAATTTTTTTTTTTTTTAATGTGTGAATTAAAGTCAATCTGTGTAAGATTTCATATTTAATTTTTTACTTATTAGTTATTACTTATTTTACGGGTTCTACTTTAAGTTCTTAATATACATTAAAATTTATCGAAATAATATGCAATAACCTTAACATATAAATATTAAATAAGAATTCACCAATATACCTATTGCATTTCAATTTTTGAAATACAACTCTATCATATAGTCTTTTCTATACATATGGTATGAAAGGTGTCATCATATTGCACTAAGCCATAATATTCGGAGATTATTATTTACAAAATTAAAATTCTCAAATCTTTTGTTGTGCGTTGTACTCAAAAATAAAAATAATAATTATTATAGATATTTAGATAAGTACAATTAAATAATATAACGTCGAATATAATATACACACTAAAACACATTCTGTTATTGCCCGTAGACTATCAATGATTTCCATACATAAATAAAATCGTTGTAGTCTCTCACTAGACAATAATGAAAAAGATAAGACATAGGTATTTACAAACTTATATTATTTTGTTACTCCCCTATCAAATTTTCCTAATTATAGATACCATACCAACAGTTAATGTGACTTGTAATTTCCAAATGATTATCAAATGACAAATACAGCTTGCCTTCGTCGTGGTGATACCGATAAAATAATATTTATTTTATTTTATTTTCATTTATTCTTCAGAAGATAATGGGCCCCACTGAGCAGTTAAATATTGTTGTCTTTATGATTTGATTTGAATGAAAGTATTAAAATGTGAAAAAAATCTAATAATAACAATAATATGCATTATCTTATAAAAAAGCACAAAATATACTCAAATATTCAATACAAACTTTTGGAAATTGAACCTACTCAATCATGGTTTACGAAACACATTTGTATCGAACTAGATTTTATTATTTATTTATATGTATATTATTATTATTTCTTACAAATAAACAATCATGTGATATTCCTGATATTTATGATGTGATCTCCTATCATAATCCACCCTCGTTGTTGATGATCGAAGCATTGTTTTACTATAGAAAGACTTAAATAAAAAAAAAAAACAAAACAAAAATGTACATATCATTGTAAAACCAATAAATTCATCGCTACACTCAGAATCTAAAAATCTCACATGTACCAAATCTTTATCAAAAAATGTTGGTTTTCTGATTAACTTTGATACAGTCATAGCCTCATAGGTATTCTATAAATTTTAATACCTTAGATCACATAATATAATATAATATGATCTATTAGATAGGTACTATTAGTACCTTTCTCACCGAAAGGATTAGCTTTATCTCCACCATTATAAAATTAATTGTTACTGCTAATTTACACAACAAACTAGATATAGCATCATATTACTGAACAATGTACATACTCAACATTAAGTTGTTTATAATATGTCATATGGTCTATTATGCAATCCATATATTATATTGTTATTATGTTACTAGAATATATTTTTAGAAAAATTTATAATATTATTTGTATGCTTGAAATGAAGATTCAGAACAGATTTCCGGCCAACGATCATATTATACTATATAGTTAATCCTGAATACTGTACCATACATAAATTGGATCAAAGTTTAATACCTATACAATGAATCAAAATCAATAAAACTGATTGTGGAAATTTCCGTAAGCTAAATATTCAAACTTTAAAAAGTACCAGTATTCAATGTTCAGTCAATATAATAAACTGCCGTAAAACAACACTTTAATTGTAGACAATTAAAATATTATATTCCCGAAACATGAACAATAATAAATTAATAAAATGCCTTTCTTCTACATGATAATATTTAACTGTAGGTTAGGTCATTTAAGACTTAAGTGTATAATTAATAATAGTTAAATTGTACATGTATATTTTGAGGAATAATATAACACATAACAGCATGTGTAATAATACAGTTATAACACAGTTTTAAATTATATTTATATTTCGTATTTTATTATTTTAGATTGTTTTGATGATTATGATATTACTGCAATTTATAGATTCAGGGAGATGCATTCGCCGACTAAGTGTCCAACAGAACAAATAGACAGTGTAATATATTCTCGTGAGTGATTTTTCATAATTTTTAACTATTCTTTTATTCAATGTTTGCAGTGATATATATATATATATAATATACTATATAAAAGATTATCGTCATATAGTGTGATAAGATGCCAATTAGCTTAACATTGTGTTCACTGTTCAGTGTTCAGGTTTGACTCAAATACCACAGCCATATCAAATATAAATTATGCCGATACAAGAAGTTATCTTCTTTCTAATGAAACTAAATTATTATTTATTGATCTACAATTTAAGACCCTATAATACAAATCATATGACAAGAGTAGGTACAAGACGTCTAATATTTATGCATACGTAACACCTCATCTCTCTAACTACCCAACAGTCATGCTGGCCGCTGGCGAGTTACGATAATGCTCAAGTCGTGACATTTTTATATTAACTCGGCCTATAGGTAATGTGCGATGTCTCATCACATATACAGTGTGATCACGATAAGTGGAAACACTCAATAACTATGTGTAGGCTTCATATATTTCAATTCTGTTTTTTTGGCTAACTAATAAACATTATTATACACATTTTCAAGTAATTAGACTATTTTTGTGACACTTAATTTAGCGCATGCGCACAATAATTTTTTTTTTTAAATGGCATGACCTATTTTTGACCACAAATTATTTTTTAGTGTATTTTTCAATGAATTTCAGTGGTTGAATTTCTTTTCTAAGTTCAAAAATGGCCGAGTTATAGTAATCTGATTTTATGTTATTTGCATGGGTATAACAGATTATAAAATAACTAGATTCCAGTGTTTGTCATCCCGCCTACGGCGGAAAGACTGTGTGGGCGGTGGTGCATCTTTGTCGGCGATGCTGGGTTTTTTGATCCAGCCTGCGTCGGGAAGGGGGGGTCGTCGGGTATTGTGTTTTGTCGTGTTGGCAGCACTGGTTAAGCGGTAATTTTTGAACTCGGAAGAGTGTCTAGTCTTAAGTCACGCGATTCAAGTCGATCGTAAGACACAGCCAGCCAGGTAGACAATCCGACTACGTCGGATCGCAGACCATGCACCGGGCGTGTATGTCCGGTTCTCGTATGTGTGTTGAAATCGGAAATTCGGGTTCTCTGAGTTTGAGTGTCTAGCTATCAGTCATCTCGATTCCCGAGTGTCGGTTGCAGTGGGGGTGTAAGTCGCTCGTATGCAAGTAGCTAGTCAGGTAGGCAATCCGACTACGTCGGATCGCAGACCATGCATCGGGTGTGTATGTCCGGTTCTCGTATGTGTGTTGAAATCGGAAATTCAGGTTCTGAGTTTGAGTGTCTAGCTATCAGTCATCTCGGGTGAAAGTCGATTCCCGAGTGTCAGATGCAGTGGGGGTGTAAGTCGCTCGTATGCAAGTAGCTAGTCAGGTAGGAAATCCGACTACGTCGGATCGCAGACCATGCACCGGGCGTGTATGTCCGGTTCTCGTATGTGTGTTGAAATCGGAAATTCGGATTCTCTGAGTTTGAGTGTCTAGCTATCAGTCATCTCGATTCCCGAGTGTCGGTTGCAGTGGGGGTGTAAGTCGCTCGTATGCAAGTAGCTAGTCAGGTAGGAAATCCGACTACGTCGGATCGCAGACCATGCACCGGGCGTGTATGTCCGGTTCTCGTATGTGTGTTGAAATCGGAAATTCGGATTCTGAGTTTGAGTGTCTAGTTATCAGTCATCTCGGGTGAAATCCGATTCCCGAACGGACAATCCGCCTATAGCGAAAAGTGCTCGAAACGGCCGTACAAATATGAAAAAGTATACAGGAGGTAATAAAATTGTATTTGTTGATAATTATAGAGAACAGTTATCAGGTGTTTTATTTTAGGCTTCACTGTAATCAATGTAATCATTGTTATGTTTTCGCGGTTATAACAAATAAGTCGACAAAATCTAATTTTCTGATTGGATATTTTCTAAAATAAACCTTCCATGTATATTTATTTAATTATGAGAATTAAGTCAAATTAACAAATAGATAATTATATTGGTGAATAACAAATTTTATTGAAATGTAATACTATCCTATTAAACGTAGGTATCTATAAATGAATACACTATACATACTCTCGTTTCCGACACACTACTCCACCCCGGGACTCGAATTTTCGAAAAAAACGGCAAATGAAGCAGTCATATTACAGTCGTACTATTTTTTAATATAGTATTTATAATCTGTAGCAGTATTTAACCAAATCGGAATCACGTAAAAACTGTAATATATCAAGTAGGTACTACACGTAGGTTAGTTATATTATAATGTATTATTAAAAGAAACATGTAGGTGCGTCGGTAAATGTTAATTATAATAATTTTTTTGCCCAATAAATATCGTCAAACGAATAATAATAATATATATAATATAATAATGCAAATTAAAAAAAAAAAATTAACACTTTCGTTAAAAATGATAAATGTGACGAAAAAAAAAAACGCAAAAAAAAGAAATTCGATTTAACACGGCCCCGCCGGCGTTCGAAACCACGACCGTCGAATCACCCGTTTTAACGCCTAACCTACCTAGCCACCTACCGAGATGAAATTAGGAGCCAAATCTATGACTCTTAAGGGCGTTTGAGCGGACCACCATGTCCGCCACCTTCAGACGTTCAAGACGCGAGATTTGCGAAAAAAATCGAACCTCGAGGCGCATGTATATAGGTATGCCTGTACATAGCGATACCATACACGGTACCTACTCTCGTTTAAGCGACGCCGCTCCTTGCCGGGACTCGTTTTTGAAAAAGTAGGGCCTCGCGCCGGTTATAAATTTAGCGGGGAACGCGAATAAGATCCAAACGGGGAGGGCGATACGACCGAAAGGGGATAAAACTCGAATTTTTTAAAAAATACGGCAAAAAACATGCTCGACGGCGGCGCTCGTATCGCACGCGATATCTGCCGCCGCGGGCCGGCCGGGAATTAAGTAGGACAGCGCGCCGTCTATAAATTTACCGAGGAACGCGAATAAGGTCCAAACGGGCCCTCCCGAGTCACCCGAGGGGGGTAAACCTCAAAAATGTTGAAAAAAAATTGTGAAAAATGGTCAAAACCGTGAAAAGTGATAAGGAGGAAAGATAACGCAGTGACGGCTCCCCAAAAAACGCCTCGACGCATGTATTTATGCCTGTATATAGCGATACCTACACGGTACCTACTCTCGTTTCCGCGACGCCTCTCCTCCCCGGGACTCGTCTGTGAAAAAGTAGGGCCGCACGCCGGCTATAAATTTAGCGGGGAACTCGAATAAGTCGTCGACGGGGAGGTTGATACGACCGAAAGAGGCTGAAACTCGAATTTTCGAAAAAAACGGCAAATGGAGCAGTCATATAGTCGTACTATTTTTTAATATAGTTTATTATTATCGTATTAAACAGTATTTATAATCTGTAGCAATATTTAATCCAATCGGAATCACCTAAAAACTGTAATATATCAAGTAGGTACTACATTACAATTATATTGTAGGTTGGTCACGGTAAAATCAAGTATTAATTAAATGTTAATTATTATTTTTTTGCAAAATAAATATATATAAATACCGATATATATAATATTATAATAACGTGAATTTTGAAAAAAATCGGAACACATGATTAATGTGACCAAAAAAAAAACGCGAAAAAAAAAATTCTATTTATCACGGGCGCCGCAAATTATCTATTGTCCTGGCGGCGGTTTCGAAACCACAACCCTCGAGTCACCTATCCTAACGCCTAACCAACTTAGCCACCTACTCAGATGAAATTTCGAGGCAAATCTATGACTCTTAAGGGCGTTTGAGCGGACCACCATGTCCGCCACCTTCGGACGTTCAAGACGCGAGATTTGCGAAAAAAATCGAACCTCGAGGCGCATGTATATATGCCTGTATATAGCAATACCTACACGGTACCTACTCTCGTTTCTGACACACTACTCCACCCCGGGACTCGAATTTTCGAAAAAAAAAGGCAAATATAGTCGTACTATTTTTTAATATAGTATTTATAATCTGTAGCAGTATTTAACCAAATCGGAATCACGTAAAAACTGTAATATATCAAGTAGGTACTACACGTAGGTTAGTTATACGTTATTATAATGTGTTAATAAAAGAAACATGTAGGTGCGTCGGTAAAATCAAGTATTAATTAAATGTTAATTTTAATTATTTTTTTGCCCAATAAATATCGTCAAACGAATAATAATAATATATATAATATAATAATGCAAAATTAAAAAAAAACATGTAGGTGCGTCAGTAAATGTTAATTATAATAATTTTTTTGCCCAATAAATATCGTCAAACGAATAATAATAATATATATAATATAATAATGCAAAATTAAAAAAAAACATGTAGGTGCGTCAGTAAATGTTAATTATAATAATTTTTTTGCCCAATAAATATCGTCAAACGAATAATAATAATATATATAATAATATAATGCAAATTTAAAAAAAAAATTAACACTTTCGTTAAAAATGATAAATGTGACGAAAAAAAAAAAAACGCAAAAATAAGAATTTCGATTTAGTACGGCCGCCGCAAATAACCAAAAATCGCGGATGGCGGTTTCGAACCCACGACCCTCGAGTCACCTATCCCAACGCCTAACCAACCTAGCCACCTACTCAGATGAAATTTCGAGGCAAATGTATGACTCTTAAGCCGCGTCGCCGTGCTCGCGGCGATAAAATAAAATTCTTATCACTTTCCTTATCAATATTTAAGAAAATCCCAATAAATCCTATCAAAAACTCAAAACCCCGAGTTTCCCCTTGGCGAGGTGGGTGTTAGTACTCTCCCGGACCAAAATCCATCAAAAAAGCAAAATCCAAAAAGGGGGGGAGGAGGTGCCCCCGTTCCTTAAAGCGGAAAACGGTAGTATTCATAAAAAGAATGGGTTCCCCCTTGGTCCGAGGTGTTTAACTTGAATTCCGGCCGAGTTATACTCAACTCAAAATGTGGGGGGGGGGGTGGGGGCTTTGGTTCCCTAATGTTGAAAATTCATCTGGGGCCTAAAAA